CCCCCGAAACACGAAACACGATGGCGACGAAGGCACAGGAAAGCAACGTGATCAGCCTCACTGATCTCAGCAAACACAACTCCAAGACGGACTGTTGGATAGCTGTTCATTCCAAGGTTTGGGACATCACTGATTTCATCAGCGAGCATCCTGGAGGTCCTTCAGGTAAGCTTTCTGCCTTTTCAGTTCCGAGTCATTCGTCTCACCGCTATGATGCTTTCCAGTCCTTCTCAAATGCGCTGGCTCGAATGCCACAAAGATCTTCGACAGTGTTCACGCACCTGATATTCTCGAAGAGCTTCCAGAAGAGAAGTTCATTGGCGTTTTGAAGGATGCCACTCCAGACGTTCCGGCTGCAGCATCACAGCCAGAAGGCCAGAATGGAGTAGCTACAGCTCCGGCGGAGGTTGCGCAGACGCCTGGTTCGGCGCAAGAAGAGGACGTTGTCCCACCTCTGGAGACGATCCTCAGCGCCCCGGACCTCACAGCTGTTGCGTCTAAGGCTCTGACGCCCAAGACATGGGCTTTCTACTCTTCTGCCGCAACGGACCTGATAACACATACAAAGAACAAGGAGCTCACGAGGAGAATCATGATCAGGCCGAGGATTCTGAGAAATGTTTCCCATGTCGACTTCAAAACCAACATTCTGGGCTTCGAAAGCTCGGCTCCATTCTTTATCTCGCCAGCAGCCATGGCCAAACTAGTGCACCCAGATGGCGAGCTCGCTCTCAGTCGAGGTGCCGCAAACGAGGGAATCGTCCAAATTGTAAGCAGCCATGGTCTTCGCACATAATGAGTTGTGACTGATACAGGTTCTAGATCTCAAGTAACGCCTCATACACCCTGAAGTCGATCGTTAATGCTGCTCCCCCGAACCAACCATTCTTCTTCCAGCTCTACATCAATGCAGAACGCCACAAAACGATCGAGATCTTAAGGTCTGCTAAGGCACTCGGGATCAAGGCTATTTTCGTAACAGTCGACGCACCTGTACCTGGAAAGAGAGAGGCCGACGAGCGAGCTGCTCAGGCAGGAACAATCCGGTCAGCAATCAGCAATGCTGAAAGCAGCAAGGATAAGAAGGGCAGTGGGCTGGGACGTCTCATGGCTCAATATATCGACAAGTCAATCACATGGGAGGACCTGACCTGGATCCGGGAGGCAAGTGGAGTCCCAATCGTGCTCAAGGGTGTGCAAACTGCGGATGATGTCCGTCTGGCCGTCGAGTATGGGGTCGATGGTGTTCTTCTGAGCAATCATGGAGGTCGTTCACTCGATGGGTAAGTTTCAGTCGCTCCTTGCTTGTTGCGAGTGATGTGGGAGGCAGCTTGCGCTAATTGACGTCATACACAGCGCGCAAGCATCGATCCTCGTCCTTCTCGAGCTTAGAGAGCAGTGCCCTGAGGTCTTCGATAAACTCGAAGTATATATCGACGGAGGATTCGAGCGTGGCTCGGACATCCTGAAAGCAATTGCATTGGGAGCAACTGCTGTTGGCGTTGGCCGGCCGTTCCTGTACTCCCTGGTTTATGGCCAAGAAGGAGTCGAACACCTGGCGCAGAGTAAGTTGGATGTTGTCCATACAAGCCAGGGTTATTTCCAAGCTGATTCAAATGTTACATCCAGTCCTGAAAGACGAGATCGAGACGTCAATGCGACTCTGTGGTATCACGAGCTTGAGCCAGGCATCGCCAGCAATGGTGAACACTCTGGATGTGGATTACATGGTCATGTCAGAGGCGCAATCGCGACAGAAGAGACCTCTCAGGAAGCCGCGATCGAAGCTGTAAACACAGAAGACACAGAAGATTCTGTAAATAATATCTCTTATCATACCCATTCAATTGAGAATTCATATCATAAACAAATTTTCCACTGATGATCCTCGACTGTGGTAGTTTAATTTAAATAAACTCATGCGTAGAATACGTCATAGGTACCATTCAATTTATGGCTATGACTGAGACTTCCCTGACAAAACATATTCACACCTATTGACTCCTGATACGTAGCAGCACATGCAATTCGCCTTTGTCATCTCACATCCATTAAACATGTATCTGCTAAGATACCTAGGTACCTGAGTATAAACAGCTGGGTAATACCCCAGTTTACTTCTTCAACGTCTTCGCAAAAGCTTCCACAGCTTGCAAGATGGGTCCATCCGGCTCCAGACCCAGACTGTAAGCCCTGGTAACATCATAGCGGGCCGGCCACGTGTCTACGATCGCAAGAATAGCAGGATCTTTCTTCTCCTCAATCAAAGTCAAAGCATCCTTTCCACCAACCTTCTCCACAGCATCCAAAATTTTCTGCACAGTGACAGTGATGCCGGGGAGGTTCACAACCCTGGAATCGCCAAACTTCTCCGCTGGAACATCCTTGACCTTGATAAGGTTCTTGACCACAGTAGCGGGACTGCAGACCCAAACCTCGAGGTCGCGGCTGACAGGTAGGACGTTTTTGATGCCCTTCAACGTCTCGCGGACGATGCCGGAGGCGAAACTCGAGGCGGCTGCCGAAGGAGCGCCGGGTCTGACTGTAACGGTTGGAAGTCGAACAATGCGACCATCGATCAGACCGCGGCGAGAGAAGTCCTCTACGAGCAGCTCAATCATGAGCTTTTGGGTGCCGTACGAGGTCTTGGGCTTGGGAACGATCTCGCTTTCGCTGACGGGCTGGCGGGGGCCGTAGACGGCGCAGGAGCTGGTGAAGACCACCGTGGTGCCGGGGTAGTTTTTGCGGAGGTGGTCGAGGACGGCCCGGACCGAGTCAAAGTTAACGGTGTATCCAAGCTCGAGATTGGCTTCGGCGCCCCCTGACATCAGCCCGTGCAGGAGGTAGACGGCAGCAAACTTCTTGGAGAAGAGGGAGGCCACCGCCGCGGGGTCGGTGAGGTCGGCCTTGAGCGAGTTGATTCTCCCCCTCTCCCCTGCTACATCGGCTGGTACTGGGGGCTGAATCACATCGGTGATTGTGAGCTGGTGGGAGGGATTGGCCTTGACGAGAGCGGAGACGAGCTCCTGGCCAACGAAGCCAGCAGCGCCAGTAATGAGAATCTCAGTTGACATCTTAAACTGGTTTCTGAAGATTTTGATGATGCAAACAGGAACTTGGTCTCGATTAACTGTGAGGCTTCTGTGACGGAGAGCCACGATCTTCACCCCTCATTGCCCCTCCCCCTCATCAATCACTTTCAATCGTCCGATTTCGCTATGGTCCCACGGGGAACACTTGATTACGTTTTCGGGGTATCTCCTCATTCCCGCTCCAACTCGCTACGAAGTAGCCGAGCGTATCCGACGACATGCGGCAACGGAAATGCGCACCAACAAGCTGCCGTGTCGTCGTTCGGACAGGTTTCCGGCGCAGGATGCCCAATTTGGACATCGGCGAGAATGCCGACACGACTGGAGACTCGCGGCAATCCTCCGGATGGGTACTTCCCCGCACTGCGTGGGGCTTTAGTAAAGCAGGGGTTCGGAAGATTTTGGGCGGAGGAGTTGAGGCCGAGAATAGCGAGCGCGTGAGGGATGACGTGATGGGCGATAAAACAAAACCTCTCGACTGCTCGTCTGTAATCAGACTGGAGTGGTACTTTGAGCTGGGCAAGCTTGAATGATCTAAGCATATTCTTGATACCCGACAAAGTTTAGGTCAAAGCAAACAGATAAGCAACATGGAATACGTGAGGTGAGCTCCCAAACTCTGGAACCACGAACTTGACCCCTCACTTGTTTTCCCCTGGATTTTCACCTGCAGTTGTTGAATGAAATATTGAATCGTTATGTGGTCGGGGCTGGGCATGGAGAACCCGTTGCATTGGTGCTAACAGTCACCTGTGGACAGGCTTGGGAACAGTGGCCTGAAGGTCTCCAAGATCATCCTCGGATGTATGGCCTTCGGCACCTCTCAATGGGAAGGCTCACCATGGGTCCTCGATGAGGCAGAAGGTCTGGAGTTGCTCAAGGCAGCTTACGATAACGGCATCAACACTTGGGACACTGCCGACACCTACTCAAACGGTCATTCTGAGCTTGTAATCGGAAAGGCTCTCAAGAAGTTCAACATCCCTCGACAAAAGGTGGTGATCTTGTCCAAGATCTTCAATCCAGTAATGGACGACAACTCGAGGCCCGCGAGCGTCAACGATGGTCCTCTAGTCAATCAAATGGGACTCAGCAGGAAACACGTGTTCCACGCGGTTGATAAGTGCCTGGAGCGCCTCGGCACCGACTACATTGGTACGTCATCCTGCCATTCCAGGACGAAACCGAGGCTAACTGTTGCAGATGTTCTTCAGATTCACCGTCTTGACCGCGAAACCCCGCCCGAAGAGATCATGCGAGCCCTCCACGAAGTCGTTCAGTCCGGTAAAGTCCGTTACATCGGAGCGTCCTCCATGTACACATGGGAGTTCGCCCGTCTGCAATACATCGCGAAGTCCAACGGCTGGACCGAGTTTATTTCAATGCAGCCGTTTTACAACCTGCTCTATCGCGAGGAGGAGCGCGAGATGTTGCCGTTCTGCCAAGCAACTGGCGTGGGTGTCATTCCTTGGTCTCCGATCGCGCGCGGTATGCTCGCGAAGCCACTGGCAAAGGACAATGCGGACAGCACTTCACTGCGTGCGCAGACGGACAAGAAGACACAGGCATGGTTTGCTGATGCAAACTTGGATATTGTAAGCCGCGTGGAGGAGGTTGCGAAGAAGAGAGGCGTCAGTATGGCGCTCGTGTCTACCGCGTGGGTGCTCCAGCAGGGTTGCTACCCAATCGTCGGGTTGAATTCCGAGAAGCGCATTAAGGAGACGGTAGAAGCGCTGAAGTTCAAGTTGACGGAGGAGGAGTGTAAATACCTGGAGTCTGAGTACAAGGCCAGGGCCATTCAAGGCATGTAATTATAATTCAGTTGGCTGTTCTCCAAATATGCAATCTATGATACAAACATACGCTCTCCTGGGTATCAATTTACCAAACCCCCTCAACCCCAGGTCTTCATGTGTTGGGTCTTGACATCTGATACTCGACATTGGTGAAGTCTTGAGCCTGCAAGGTGGAACTTTCGGGGTTCAACGATGACAAGTCGAAGTTGAACACTGGCGATAAGCCAAAACTCATGTCATAGTCAAAGAAGAATTCCCCCTCAGAGCCGATGAATGTCCCATCAGTGCTCGGTGGCATCAGCTGTGGATCGATTGTCCCATTGACGCCGTTGGATGCAGTCAGTGCGTCGTGTAAGTGAGCCAAGGAACCATTCTGGCTACGCTTCAACGTTGCCGCCATCCGCTCGAGACCTGGCGCCATGAGATTTGCAAGGTGCCACTTACCAGCTGGCAAAGACCGGAAATGTCTCACGAGACTTGTGGTCAAGTCCCAGACGCGGTCAGGCTCTATCAGATCCCCACCATACTTGACGGCCACCTTGATGAGAAACATGCATGCGAAGGCAGTCATGCAGTGAAGATACGAAGGCATGCCTATCACGCCAGCAGCAACATCCGGGTCAGTCAAGATGAAGTTGATGGTTGAGGTCGCGACGGAGATGGCTGTTGCTGCGCAGTCGAGGAAGTGGTAGGGAATTGGGTTATCTCCGGACAGCCCACGAAAGATGTGCGAGTAGAGATGAAGTTTTGCAAAGTGGAAATGCAACTTGGCACCTTTTCGTGGAAAGCGGCCAATGTTTTCTGACTCTTCTACAAGAACGATTAGCCCGTGCGATATGTCTTTCGACAATAGTTTCTTACCTGGCAACGTCTCAGACCAATGCTTCAACCAATGGTCAAGTTCCTTATTGAACTGCGTGATCTGATGGACATATGATCTCGGTGTCGGTTGCCCCTTGTCCGGACCGAACAACTCTCGGATGCTGCCTATGATGCCTAAGAGTGCCACTTGACTTGCAAGACGTTTGTCCTGTTCGTTCGATACTGGGGACGCTAAGAAGCTCTCCCACTGTTGCATCGATGAGTCTTCTTGGACAATTGCTGGCCTCCCGTACAGCGTGGCCAGGTGCTGGTCGCAAACATTGAGGATATACCACAATCTTGCTCCATCAGCAGCTTCCTCACTCTTCTCCTCGATAGCGCGGGTATAGCTGTTGTGCAGGTTGCATTCGGCTGCTCGCCGGATGGCGTAGCCTGACAACATCCATGACACATCGCTTAGCCAGTACGACGCAACACACATGGCTCGAAGATAGTCTCGGTCTACACGACGGTCAAACATTGACCTTTCCGTCAGGCGACGGAACTCTGAGCTGCATACACCATATATCCCGTTTGCTTGTGGGTCATGGAGAGCGGCAACTGTGAGAGTTGCGGCGGTGAGAATCGAGCTCCTTCGTCGCAGTTCGTCAAGCTGCTGATACTTGCAACCAACCCCGTACATGAAAGGGTCGAGCCGATCGCGGTAGAGACGGAAAAGCCGTTCGGCATCGTCGAGCCGAATAGCACCTCGGGCGATGAAGTCATCAAGAGCAGGACTTGAGTGTCCCTCAGGAGCATCCGGAGATCTTAGGGCTCGTAGTTTGGTGAGGGCGTAGAGTGAGTGGATCGGTACGTGAGGGAGATTCTCGTCTTCGGGAGAGATCTTGGGGGAATTGTCGCAAGAGGGACCATGGTTGTCCTGCCCTGATACACCAAGACGGTAGCCATTGCCATTTGTGGTTGATGCTGGCCGCCCATTTTGTGAAGGAGAGTCTGTTGAGTTTCGTAATGTTGTGCTCTGAAGCGCAGCAGGTTCTGATGCGCCAACCTTCTTCGCGATCTCCTTAAGTGTGGCGTGGAGACTTTCGATATCTTGCAGGACAGCCTCGTTGTATCTATGTTGGATGTCAGTGAGAGGATCTCTTCGACGCTGTAGATCAGATTAGTCGTTACTGTGTCTTCTCATCAATGATGCTCTGTAAGTTTTTGCCAAGAACACAACCCAGATTGCGTTCGGAGCACCGACGACAGGGTGGACCGCTATCATCCATCAAGCATTTGATCTGCGTGTGCACAGTCAGCAGGGGGTCTTTGGAGGTTGGAGCACAACAAACCTTGTGTTTGCGGCATGCTGCACAAGCCTTTATTTTCCGGGATATTTGCGGAAAAGATCCTTCCCCATTACCAGCAGTCAATAACTAAAACCCAGAGTCAGTCTCTCACTCTCAGGACACGTCAAGGGCGGAAAGTACCGTCATGAACTCCATGCCTTCATTGGCATCAGACCAGCTGCGTTTCGACATGGCCTGTGATGGGCACTCCTCACGCAAGAAGGCGGCGAGTTTCTCGATTCAAGGGTTCCAGAGTGTAGTTGGAGTCGGTCGTGAGGAGTGGAAGAGGAGAAGTTCGGCTGCAAAACACACGCGTTGAGCGGCGCCGGGCGACTGGGTGGTCGGCACTTGTGTGGAGAAAGACACAGGGATGAGGGCCTCTCAACGTCAGGTGTTTCCCCGCGGCGGATTTGAAAGCAGTTGGAGATGATTGAAGGTGACGGAACGAACCCCGCTTCCCCGCATAACCCCCGCAAGTGGACAACATCGTGAAGCGTCTTCATTCTTTCCGGCTTATTGCCAGATCCCTTTCAGGCATGAATAAGCGCCTGGGATATCAAAGGTTTGGTAACCTTACGTCTTGAGGCAAACACTATTGTATGGCAAGGAATCCCATACTGCGCGTGAAGACATGTTAATGAATATTGATGGATTAGAACTAGTGTGTCTACACTCTTGTGGTGAGTTGCCAATCTTTGCTACTCTGGTGGCAGTCATATGCAAGACGAAGGAGGGTAAGCTCCTGTAGAATTGTACTGACATCGATCGATGTGTTGATAAGTCTCATGATTCTAGAACACTATCGGCCAAGCCTTGTCTGACTTACAATCCCATCTAACACCCCATACAAACATCAGTCACAGTCACAGTCAAAGTCAAAGTCACGCACACACCATGGCCATCTCCATCCTGCTCGCAATCCTCAAAAGCTCTTTTCGGCCCCCGGCCGGAACTTCGTGGACCGCCGGAGATGACGTGGGTGGATACTACCGCAGCTGGGGCTTCACCATCTACCGCACCGCTTACGGCCCGGCTACCGACGAGCAGTGGCGCACCCTTCAGGACAAGATCCGGGCCCAGGCCGTTTCCGAGATAGACGGTTACGTTGAGGCCGGCGAGGAGGACGTCGCCGCCCAGCTCAAGACCCTCTTCGTCCTCGACGCCCGCTCCGACGCCGCCCTGCTCGCGGACAAGACCATGGACGAGGTGCGCGAGATTTACAAGCAGGCAGCGGTGGCCAGTCGCAGCTCCGGCAACGACTATGACAATGACAACAGCCAGTCGCTGCCCCTCATGCACGACGGCCCCAACCAGCGCGTGTTCCTCCTTGCTGACGCCGAGGTGCTGGAGGCCGTCGACGCTGATTTCACTGAGAGAGATTTGGCCAAGACGAACGGCGCCCCAGGGGCTCAGGGGACGGGTAGGGCAACAGCCGGGGTGTGGTCTGGTTGGATGAAGATGACGACCCGCAGCATGGTCGATTTGTCTGCAGAAATGCTGGTGCGCGATCTGGCTAGCATCGCGCCTGGTGCGAGGGCCGCGGACGAGAGGCCTGTGTACAACGGCGAGCTGACCGGGTCGTCGCTGACGAGCAAGAAGTCGAGCGGCAAATGAGGCGATGGAAGGGAGGGCCGCGAGGACCCTGAACATTGAGAGGCTTGGGGAAGATAAGTATGAATCACGGGATGGACTTAGATGGCTTTTCAGCATCGTCAACATTTTCCTATAGCCAACGAAGTCAAATTCAGAGGTGGTTAATAAATTACACAAAAGTTGAAGAAGGTCATGCTCATGGTGCCCGACCGAGCTATTGCGCCGCTTCGAAGCCTGGTCAACAGCCAGTATCGGTATGCAGTCTGTATGTGAACGACATCCCCTGACAACTTCAGTGAGGGCGGAGTAAGAGGCTTGCCTTCCAGCCGCAGCATCGGTCATGGAATTGCAAATGAGGTTACCGTCAAAGGTGTGTTCCACTGCAAACCTCTGTCAAAATTCATTCAGACACAGGAGAAGCCTCGGTGGTCGCTGATTAGAATTCGTGGAATTGTCCATTATTGCCGCCAATCAGGGTCGCTACCGGGTTTGCTACGTGTGTAAGTCGGAGGATATGGTCTTATGTCCGCTTCCTCAACCAGTCGTGCGGTCTTCACGCATTTAGCGACAGCCGTGGCCTGGCCCAGCCTGGGTACTCGTTCGTGCCAAGTCTGGCCGCAGGCGGAGTAGAAGGATTGCGATGCCATCATTTCAGCGCGACCCAGAGCTTTCCGTTTAGTCCTTTAGACAAGCAACTGATGCAGCTGATCCGAATAGTGAGGTTTCATACTGTGACAGATTCCACATGGAACGCGGTCAAGTCGTCGTGTTGGAATATTAAAGGGACGACACCGACGCCGGCAGCGGATACACGGCTAAGTCTTGCGGTAGTCGTTCCAACTACCGGACGGCAGAATTGTAACGGTCAAGGCGAGCATCAGTGGGGTAAGTTAGTAGATCTCCTGCTAAAGATTCAACATTGCTAATCGGGGTACTGACAAATACGCCACATACTGGACCATCTCTGAATTCGGTGACATTTAAGCATGTATGGCCATGCTGCAGAAATCGGACGACGGCACATACCGAAGATCCAGCGTCGGTCGAACTCCCCGGCGTGATCTGCCGGACTTACCGCTCAGTGGCAGTTCTTGATACCGCCACTGACGATCGGCTGAACTTTTCGTTGGCCGAGCACACTTACACTCCGTTGCGTTGACAGCGTCCGCCCCCCCTTTTTGCCGAAATTACGCACGCATAATCCCTGTATATACATGAAAATTTGCCCAACGCCACGTAGATATTCGTAGTACGGCAATTGACCTATTCTGATGGCTTCAATTGATCTATTTCTATTGAATCTCATTATCTGAGGGCATCGTGATGCCTCCTAAACGCCGCCGCGCGGCTCGGCAGGCGGATGATGACCCTTCTGGGCATCGTCCGTCACCCATCGCCAACGGTACGCGGAAACAACGACGTATACAACAACTGGCACAGGACGCCGCCAGAGATCCTCCTCAACGCTCTGCCTCGCCGTCGATCAGGATCGTTACGCCCGCCGAGAGGGCTCGCCGGGCTGCCGCCGCCGAAGAGGCCGCCGAGGAGGCCGCCGAGGAGGTTATCGTCGCCGAGGCTGGACCCGAGACTAATGATTTGGTGGCGGCTGAGTCTACATCGCGAAGAAAGCGTGTACTTATAGCCCCTCCGTCATCACGAAGAGCTCCAAAAGCGTCCTCTCGCCAAAAAGCAACGACAACGCAGAGGAAGCGAAAGAAGGATCCGCCGCATACGATCCGGCTCCGAAGTACTCTGCCTTCGTCGATGCCACCGTTTCGACCAGACTCGACCCCAGTTAACCCAACCCCTCGTCAAACCACTCGATTTGCGGACGATACGCCTACGGCCCCTCGCCATAGCGCTGATGATACGTTTATGTCGTTCCACGATGTATTTGAAGAGGAGGACGATATGGGTAACGAGGAACCAACTCTGCTACAAATCCAGGTTACCCGTGGCCCAGCGCTCAAGGGTAACGGTTTACCTGTTCTCGATCTAACCATCGAGAGCATCGCGTATAACAGATTCAGTATTGCTCCTGTATTAGATGCGAATAGTAGAGACTGGGAGGCAGACAGCGGCGCCCAACTTGAGGCAGAAGTGGCTCACTCGTATATTGTGAAGAAGGCCAATATCGCTGTTGTCGTTGCTTGGAGGAAGCCCACCAACGCATCTAAACCAACACCAATCTTCACTCGGGTCTATCCGTCTACTGGAGGGGTCACTTGGCCAAGTATTCCATGGGTTGATATTGTCCCCTCTCTTGAACAAGCTGAAGAGAGGGGTGAAGTCCACCTCACCGTCAAGTGGCAATACAGCGCCGTACCAATCTCTGGTGGTATAGTGACTGGCGTACGAACGCCTCGAAAAGGTGGCCGAGCAGGCGTTTCAGCCGGCATGCAAGAGGCGATCGATCGTGAGGCTAACGATCCTGCAAACGTCGAGCGTCGGAAGGAGGGTATGCACAGACAACTTCTCCGTACGCACATCTGCCCAGAGTACCAGAGATGTAAGAATAGTTCGGGCGACGAGAAGTTCAACTGGTGCTATATACTAGGCCAGAAGCACTACAAGATCAAATCTCACCATATAGAGAAGTGGGCGAAGGCTATTATGACTGGACAGGCTGGCGTTGACAATATGGAACCACCTAAAGAACTGCTTGGTGAGATTCTTCACGACCAGTTTATAGAGGATCAGAAACGCCAGGGCAAGAGAAGTAAGAATATCGTGGAGGTTGATGATAACCAGGAGACGACAGTGATGACGGAAGAGAAGGCTGAAAATGCCGCACTTCCATCATCAGGGTCAAGATCTGGCCTAACCAACGCCAACAGCAACGCCATCGTCAATATATACGGCAACGCGGGGGCGCCAGATCGTCATCTTCAATATCCTAACCCATACGTACAGCTGCCGCCGCCGGCGCCGCCGCCGCCGGCATATTGGCCATATGCGAACATCTCACAGTATTCGTTGCCAACTCTTCCGCCATTGAACCTTCCAAGCACTCGTCAACCAAGTATCGCACTCCCGATTCGTTCGTCCTCGCCAGTGGTACCGGATTCGCCTCGAAAAGCTCTAGATCAAGTGGCCAGCTTCATCAAGTGGTTTATATCCGTCCGCGGCAAGCGATATAACGTCGACGAAGGGTTCAGAAAGAAGCTACAGAAACTGCGATCAGTAGACAGTAGCTTGCGGGCAATTCGCAAGTTACCAGATATTTGGTTTACTGAACAGGGTTTTACTCAAGATCTTACCGAAGATGTCAGGAACTCGATCAAATCCTTCATAGACAACAGCGCCTACTACGGAGGGCAGTCTGACGCCCTCTCCGACGTGGTATCTCACTCTGAACTTCATTCAAACCATCGAGAGTCAGAAGGAGATGTTTATACAAGAATATACGCTGGATTGCCAGGAGGGACGGCGGCGGCGCCAGTTGAAAACTCTGCGGCGCTAGTTTCAGGCGAGTTGGGGTCATCCCGACATATCGACGCCCTAGTGCCACGTCAATCCATCGAGCAAGAGATCCGTGGTACGCCAGTTGAAGTTGGTCGACGTGGTGAGTGTATATAGAGCTGTTTACTGTCGAATATGGCTAACTTTGTAGGCGTTTCGGAACTCTTTGGTTTCGTTTCGTCACCACTGCTGTCAGCGTCGCAGATGCTGCCCACGCAGTTACAGATCGAACAAGACGAAATCGAGCAAGGCGATGAGGACAATCAGATTGAAATCTCGAGTGATACGTCGTCAACAGAGACGTATTACTCGGAGGAGGATAACGAAGAAGAGTGATACAGCAAGAGTGGTGTGAAGTTTGACTGTATGCGCGATTTTTTTGCATGACGTGTTCAACCACGGAAAAGTCTACCCATAGCCGTAGATTCAACACTGCCGCTCTATACGTATAAAAGCAATAGAATTACTGTTATTTTGGATCTGCAAACAATACACTTCGGTCCATCCCGATACTGGTTAGGGGCAGTTGAAGTCTCTGACTATGGTTGAAGTCTCTGATCGTGATGACGTGTCATCATCACAAATCATCGTCACAAGCATCAACAACGCGTTTCAGCCGTTATACAGGCAAAATTGATATGTATACGTAGCTACCGACGAAAACAATGGACGACGGTATATTTTTTGTGTTCTGGTGCGCTTGTGGCTAACCTTTTGGCAATCTTGTTGGCTACAATCATGGATTTGATGATTGACCATCATATGACGACACGATTAAGATCTATTGCGCGCGAACGCACGATGAAAATTTGGATTGCTTGCTGATGTTCAATATTGGCAGCAAATCCTCCCTTTTATAGTTCGATATCGTCAAATATATGCTCTGTCCCATCAAAGTTGACGAACGAATGGCGGAAATGGCCCTCGATCTGGGGTAGACGATACCCAATCTCCATAGCGCAGTCACGTAGATATTCCATGAAATCCCGAGTGTCATTCTCATCGTTGTTCCACTTCGAATACGTCTTCCTGATGTATCGCTTTAGATCGCCGAAGTACTCTTCGATGGGGTTGAAGTCTGGTGAATACGGAGGCAGAAACTCGAGATGGACACCTGATACCCGGCATAAACCCTCGATTTCAGGTATACGATGGCAGGAGAGGTTATCCATAACGATGACAGAGTTTGGCTCTGGAAAACGCCCACATTTCGGGATAAGGCACTCCTGTAGCCAACGAAAGAACCCATCGCCGTCAGTCGTACCATAATACGTAGTCAAGTGTAGGATACCGCTCAACGTGAGGGCTGGCAGGATCTGTACGCGAGAGTTCTGAAACCGATCAATCTCTGCAGTTCGAAACGCAGCAAGCCCTTTCGGCGCCCATCCAGTCCTCCGTATCCCAGTATCCTTATTGACGCCGGATTCGTCGACGAATACCAGCTGGTCGGGGCGATATCGTCGTATACGGTACAAGTACTCGTATCGTAGTTCGTCACTTCGCTGAGCAGCAATAATCTTGGACTTCTTGTTCGTCCAGCCAGCTGAGTTTAACTGTCGACTGATTGCAGAACGACTGATCTGGATCTCGAAGGCTTCAAATAGGAAATCTTGCATCTCTTCAAGAGATAGATCGCTGCGGTACTGCAGTAGTTCAAGAAGCTCTGTACGATGCCATATTTCCATCTTTTGTCGACTCTGGCGGCACCTCTTATATCTCTGCACTTCGCCAGTGATATTACGTCGTGATCTATGTCGTCGAATCGTTCGTTCGGTACAGCCAACGATACTTGCCAGCTCGTGGGTCTTTTGGTCTTCGAATGGCAGTATCATCGCGATCGTCGATAGCTGTAGATTCGATATTCTGGGCGCCATTGTATCGTCGTCGTCGCCCGGCGTCTTTCTCGATGTATCTGATATAATAAACCACGGACATGTACTGACCAGCGGCAAACTGTAAGTAACAGGGCACAATCTATACAGCAGTAGACTCTTGCTCAATATCGTGAACAAGCTGAGCTATCAGGAGAGTCATTAATCCTGTTGACTGCCAAAGCATTTGCTCTGAAGAACCGTATCAAGCCCCTTGGTATGCTTATATATTACTCAGAGCCATACAAACCGTATGCTGAGTAGATATATAAAGTCATACAGCAGGTCTCTTCTTCTGTTCCTCAGCAAATGTCATCTTGATCTCTCATGACGAAAATAGACCTTTTGTTGGTCGAATGGTATGGGGATGAGGTGACTAGCTGGGTTGGCAATGCCTCGATGGGTAGATTGACTGCTACGGAAGCATGAAATACACACCTTATGTCTCTATCGTGTAGTTATACGTTTGAATACTACTGGGACTATAGTGATTGACGGCAATTGAGGTGTTGGTGATGACTTTGACGCGTTTTGCGTGCGATGCAGAGAAATGCGCGTCACAGCGTAAAATTGGCTTTTTTTCATGTTTTTGCATAAGCGGGGAAAAAAAAGGGGGGCGGACGCTGTCAACGCAACGGAGTGTAGACGTCTGACACCTGCCCCAATCGGGAATGAAGCGTTCGAGCTACCCCTTTCGAACCGCCGTCCTTCGTATATCGCATTCGATACGAGCTCGCATAAAGAGCCCCAGATTCACCCAATCTTGTTTGACTGTCTTGCGTGATCCATTCCGACAGCGCCCTTCGCAATATTGTTTCTATGAGTACTTATCCTAGGATGGAAACGCCTAGCGCTGCTATTTGCAAGAAAACCTCCCGTCGGAACCACACAAAATCACGCAGTGGCTGTTCGGATTGCAAACGTCGCAGGGTAAAGGTATGCGTTGTCGAGTGGACGTTGCGCGATCATAGCATGGCTTAACTGAAAACCCCATAGTGCGATGAAGCATGGCCTGCGTGTTCCCATTGCGCTCGACGCAAAGTCTCATGCAGTTTAACATATGCGAAACCCCTCTCCCCAGGAGGCTCTCTGTCGTCAGAGCTCAGGCACAGTCCCAATCGTCGACATGTCCGATCAGTTTTTGAGGCTATTTTGATGGTCAACCGTTCACCAAATTCAGAATACGGCGATGCCGTGATGTCCTACGACACACCCAAGTTCGACTTTTCACGTCTTTCTGATCCCACTTTCTCGTCACTTTCAAATAGTCGAGACCAGGAGTTGATGCATCATTTTTGCACCCTCACTGTACACTCAATGGCCACGCGGCCGGACGTTCTCCATATTTGGAGGACTGTAATTCCCCAGTCATGCTATGAAAATGACTTTGTTCTTCACGGCATCTTAGCCCTGTCTGCAGCGCACAAAGCGTATCTCCTTTCAGGCAATCGACAACTCTATCTCAACCTATCCGATCATCATTTCAATATTGGGTCAGAAACCTTCCGTTCTCAGCTTTCAGACGAGGATGAGCGCAAAAAGAATCAGAAACCTCTGTTTCTGTTCGGTGGTGTTGTCATCATTCACATCCTGACATCGACTTTGCGTACGCACAATTCAGAAACGGACGCCATCGAAAACCTAGTCAGGTTGACAAGAGCTATTAAGGGGTTTCGTGTCATTATATTCTCATGCCTCTCATGGAGTGCCATGACCGACCTTGCCGCATTGGACTCTGGATCTCGGCCCTTCACGTCAAAGGAACTCGGTGAGATGTACGAGATGAACCCTCTCTTCAGCGATACATGCGCAATCGTTCACTGACCGTGAAATATATAGGGATCTCTCAATACGGAACACGAACCTACCTTGTGATATCTTAGAGGCTCTTGAGGATCTCCAAGCATTTCAAACAAAAGATGCTCCTCCTGGGCCAGAAAGTCCCTATGAGAAGGCTACATTGGGCCTGAGAGACATCGTCAAGACCCTAGCAGCTTGCGGCGTATTCTCAGAGGCAGGCATCGTCCTACGCTGGCTGTATTTCCTTGATGCAGAAATTCTGGCAGACATCGAGACGCTCCAGCCGACAGCCTTATTGCTTGTAGCTCATTTCGCGGTGATTGTGGCATCCATGGAGAAGACGGTATGGTATCTCAACGGCTGGGGCGAGGCAATTATCAGACAGGTGGATCAGCTGTTGGAAGAGGACTCGAAGGAAAGAAGCATGTTCGCATAGGCAAAACAGCAAATACCACACATAATACATTAGTTGACTCATTCAAGTGAGCCTCGGCGTACTAACATTGAATGTTTCTATCCTGCTTCAGAAATCAATTCTGCTCCATGAAGCAAAACTCGTGTTGCCAACAAGCATTTGCCCTAATTTAGCGCCAAGCCAACAATTTCAATCTCCTTGAGGCCTGAGACATAGACCTTTTAGTGCCCCCCACAGCTACATACCCAGAAAAGGATTAACATGCCAGCCAAGCTACACTACTAGTCAATATACTTAAGTTTTACAGTAAAATCAATACTTTTTAAGTACCTATACTTCTACTAAAACTAGCTAATATTTATCTACTTTTTTTAATAGCTATAAGTTAACCTCATTCCTTAACCTAAATCCCCTACCTACTTACTCATAATACTACCACAATACCCCTACTTACTCTATATTAAATTAACCCTAAAAAATCCCTAAAAAATAAACAATATTCATAATAATAATATTATTAAGTTATTTAATAATTATAATAATAACTTTAATATTACTAATAACTTTAAAAACCTTAATACCTCTATATAGCACTATATACTAATTAGCTTTAGTATTATTAATAACCCTTACTAGCTACTTACTATAAGAGATCTTAATAAGATTAAAATAAGTATATTAATACTACTATAAGTATACTAGCTACTACCTCTACCTCTAAGTAAGTAAAATCCACTACTAAACCCCTAGCTAGCTATTCTATATAATAATAACATAATATAATATAACCCTTATAAGCCCTACCCTCTACTAAATATCTAATATAATAAAAAGCTTCTAAACTATACTAATAGCACGCTATATTATAAACTTCTTATAAAATACTTTAAATATAAAATATATCTACTTCTAAACCTCTTACTACTATAGATATAATATAAGTTTATCCCTAAGTAAATAGCTAAGTAGTAAGTATATTAGATTAATAAGAAGTTAGAGATATATTAATATACTTATAATCCTACTAAAGTAATAAAAAACTTTACTTAAGTACTTTACTAACCCTAATATATAACTATAGTAAAGATATATATCTTTTTAAGTATACTTATCTATATAACTATCTATTAAAAAAGTACCCTCTATAACTACTAAATTAAGTATAATTACTACCCTCTCTACCTTATTAATTATTAGCTCTTTTATAACTACTTTAAGTAACTATATTATAACTTTTCTACTTATAACCTTATTACTAAACCTCTCTATAATATATACCTAATAATATATAAAAAGGTTACCTACTAAAGCAATTAGCTACAGTTAATATTAACATAGCTATAATCACTTAGTACTTATATCGCTATTAATAAAAATATAATCTACTACTAAGGCTACTACTTTAATATCTAGCATATATAAAATAAGCCTATACCTATCAGCTTTAAAATATAAGTTATAAAGGAGGCTAAATACTTTTTTTAGTAAGCTTAGTATATAAATAAAAGTCTAATAATCCCTCTACTTATATATTTATTAGCAGAGACTAAAAAGCTTACCCCTATAAAAGCAGTTATTACTTATCTTATCCTATTACTACTAATACCCCTAAACTAACGCTAATAATACTACCTTTTTATTAATAACTTATTTACTTTAATTAACCTACTTTAATACCTCTAGCACTATAATATTATTACTATAAGTACTATATATAACACCTAATATAATAAGGTTAGTTTAACTCTTAGTAAGCTTAAAAGCTATAATAATAAAGCTAAAAAGATACCCTAAAACACTATTTACTATAAAATAACTAAGAATAGTATAATTTACTAGCTTCTATTTAAGAATAGCTCCCCTATTTTAATAGTAACTATAAGCTTTTATAGCTTTAAGTATACCTTCCCTAAGCTCTAAAAGAAGTTTTATAATAGTATAACCTATACTAATATATTATAAGCTCCCTTTAAAACTCATAATACTATTATAAGTAAGTTATTAATTATATATATAAAAATACTACCCTTCCCTCAGTTTTACTATATATATAACTAATATATAAATACTATTAATATTAGTAATTAGTATAAAGCTAATAGCTACTATAGGTATTATATACACTATAATAACTACTAAGTACTAAATTTTAACTTTAACCTACCTATTAATATTACTAATACTTACTTAGCCTTCTATAAGACTTAGTATAATACTTATATATATTATAGTAGTAGTAAATAATACACTTAGATATAAAAGCGTTTTTAATAATACCTCTATAAAGAGATTATAACTATATATAGAGAAGCAGTAATCCTAAGCTATAAATCTACTACTATAAAAAAAAAGCCTTCTACCTAGCTAAATCACAGCCTATTAATATTACTAAGGAGGAAGCAGTATATATAATATTCTTTAGTATATAGGCGTAAAATACTTAATAAGAAGGATATTAATACCTTATTTAGTAACTATAAAACAACCTCTAGGTATAAGTAGTATAGTATAATACTTTATAAACAAAAGTATTAAGATACTTAGTATACTAAAGAGAGGACTAAGCATAAATAGCCTAAGTTAAGAAGGATCTATAGCTAAATACAACACTTTAATTAGACACCTCTATAGCTATTACCTACGCTATAAATATCTTTTACTAATATACTATAGAGTCTAACAGCCTCTAAAGGCCTCTACTAACTAGCTATACCTAACAAGATCTAAAAGGTCCATATCTCAGGCCTCAAGGAGATTAATTTAGCACCAGCTAGGTAAGTCTAAGACTATTATAAGCTTAGTTAAGGCTAGCTTTAGGGCGAAGGGAAGTAAAAGACCCTAAAGCCTAAACAAAACTTCTGCTCTTTAGGCAGATCACATTAGCTATCCAGCCAGTCATAATAAAGACAGCAAAAACAATAATAAAAGCGACGATAATAATAACGACAACAATAATAAAAGGCTTCTTCTTCTAGTATAGCTTAAAGCCAGTATTCCACCCAGTTAGCTAGGAGTATCCGCCCAGATAAAAAGACTCCAAAACAAAAGCAGACCAAATTACAGGGATTTAAGTAGAGATTAATTACAAATTAAGGACAGAAGTAGATAAAGCACAAAGAAAGGTAGCCTTACACTGCTTCTAATACTAGAGGCAATCATCCAAGGTTATATAGAAATAATCTCCAAGCAAGCTTCAGCTTTCTTATATAAACACTTTAGACTAATACTCTCAAGAGTACTTTCACATAATGTAGCATCTCAATAGAAGAGCCAATTTATTGCCCAAAATCCACAGGAGGCGTCATCACATGTGTGGAAGTGATAGATTAAGTGATGAGAACTAGCAATCGCCGCAGGAAAAAGTGCAAGGTCTATCCTATTTGCTGGAATTACATATTCTGAGGCGAATCAATAGCCTTGTCCGTTAGCAATGGGAAGCTATGCCAAGCTCTTCCAACAAGGTCTGTAGTAGGCGCCGCCCGCGGCCAGAGCATCTCCACAAGGTACAGGAATATACCTCCTGCTTCTTCTATAGGAGCCTTATCACGTCTGAATATGTCCTTCTTATCCCGTCCAGGAAGGACAGAGTAATCTGCCCGATTTTCCGAGTTGACATTGCGCTTGGCAACCCATGGTAGACCGATGAGAGCGCAATACTCTCCAAATGGATACTCAGCGTCGTCTTGATTGTCCATCTTGAATTGGTCGTACCCCGTGACGTCAACCCGTAGGCATTCGAGTGAAACCGCTGCACTCCTCTGCTTGGAGGCTGAGATCACATCCACGATCGAACGCACCAACTGCGCATCCACTGCCGAGTTGATGACAGCTGTTTTCAGGTCGCGCATCGTGAAACCCGGAGGGTGTTGGTGCCTTTTCGGGACCTTGTTTTCCGTCACTCGCCATATCTCCCTCTCGAACCCGCTCATATCCTGTACATCCATTTCTTCCAGGGTCGCGCGAGTAATCGGAGGTGGCCGGACGACAAGTGTGATTGTCAGGTCTCGGAGCCGCTTGAACCTGCCCAGAGCTCGATACGCTGCCACTTCGAATCCATCTCCCTTACGCCTGAGGATGCGCAGGGTCAGGCACTCTAGCAGTGGGCTTCGTTTGGCAACTTCTAGAATATCCTTCTCTTTAAAGACTCGTGAATTGTGCGTTGCCACATCCAATGTCCGTAGACAAGGGCCCAAAAAAGATTCCAAGGGGATTTGAGAACTAAGACCGCCCAATTTGAGTGCCAGAAGATTTGGGGAAATTCCACGGAGGGCTTCCGCGACGACTTCCCAATAAGAGCGGCTGTCGACATATGGCAATGCAATGTTCAAGTGCACCAGGGACGGGAGAATGCACTTGGCAAGCTCTCGAAGCGCTGGAACCTCCAGTTTCGTCAACTTGAGGACTCGCAAAAGGGACATGTCGGTGGATTCCCTCCATAATTTGATCACTTCCTCGGACACACCCAAGTCTTGTTCCATCTCCATGGATATCAACGACGCCGGCGATTAAGTGAGACTGAGGTCCTTGGCAGCCTTCCAGGGCTCCAGAGGGAAAGGCTGGCTGCTTGGGTCGGACGCGGGACGCAGGTGCACCTTTTTCAGATTTGGGGCCATTTTAGTCACAACCCGCATTACAGCAGCATTGTGTATACTGTTCGGGTTTGGCTCTAAAACGCCGTTGTTCCACTCCTCGTAGGTCCCGTAGTTGAATGCGTACGAGTATCTGACGCTGTACAGGCACGGTGAGCTTGCCAGCCTTAGCTCGTGGGCTGTCTCTTCATCGTCCGGTACTGGCACATTTATGGGTTTGTCAACGATGCTATGCAGATGAAATTGCGCAAGTGAAGCCTGCACCTGGGATGATACTCGTGCAAAGCGTCGAGCATGCATGGCGGGAACTGATTAGGGCATGCGTAAAGAAGATCCGTAAGTCTCGGAAGCTTCTTGATGAGTTTCGCGAGGGGTTTCCAGAACCCGTTTGGGACTTTCGCGATCGTGAACTCGTCCCAACCGAAATGTCTTCCATTGTGGCCGACTTGGGTTTCTTGAAACCAGCCATCGATCCTTGTTTCATCGTCGACCATTTCCGCGGCTGTGATGCGAGGCTTCCAACCGTCTCCCTTCGAGCGAGTGGAGCTGGCTGCTTCCGGGTGGACGAAATCGGGAGGCGTAACCAGGCCCGCCACCACGAGGCGACGAACGTGCGGGAAATTTTGGTCCCGATCAAGGGATCTGTAACATTGCGTGACATCTTGTTCCAAGTACCCAGGGTACTTGTCGAGGCCGGAAACCACGAACTTGACGGTTCTCGCCAAGACGGCACTGGCCGCGGAGCGGTATTTTTTGCTCGTCAATGAGAACGCGACAAGACTGGCAGTGAACCCATCATCGTAAAGAAACTCGCATATTGCAAGGAGCTCTTCTGTGGCGAGCGAATCGAGTGAGGCTTTTGGCGGTGGCATCTTGTCACCTTCAATGAGAGTTTGCTGTTTTGTCGATGTGTTACGTGGAGGTTCAGCTGGATATTACTGAATGGGTCAAGCGTCGCGTCATGTTACATTCACGCGTCAAAGTGATATATCTTGAAGTGTTCACTTTTAGCCGATAGCTTTCTAGGTTATACATGCAATTAGTGTCATTCTTTGTTGCATAAAAACACTTTGAAGAATAAAATATCATCGACAGAGCCACTTTATCTAGTCTGCGATCTTATCAAGAGATGATGACGCAAGTGCCCACTATTTTCAGGCCTAGATGCTGATTGAATATGCCACAGGGGATCAACAATCAACTTCTGGTTTCCTCAGAATCTGCTTGGCAAGGGATTTTCGTTGAACATTTCTTTGAAAACAAGTGTCAATGCTTCCAAGTACCCGAACTGCTGAATGAAAGGGAGGAAAGAAGGGTCTATGCATCACCACAATTTCTCCAAATGCCGTCTTTACGAATTGTTCAACTTGCCTAAACCATCGATCAGTCACAGCAACTATCGCTCACTGACATACCTTAATAAACCATACGTCTACATACTGGTGCCATTCATTAGTTGATAGGATAATTCAGACGTTACCCTACGCATATGCATGCCCTGCAGCAATTAACAAGATGTCATGGCCAAGTCACTGAAAATTGCTGTTGGGGTTCTCCATTCGCGAACTCGCCTCGCAAGGACTTGATTTCCTTGAAGTGCTTGAGGCCCAAGAAGATGCTGTTCGTCGATTTTAGTAGTTGGAAGTGTAATTGATCAGCATGTCTACACTCAGCAGCGGTGTGCGAGGAAAACGGATAACGAGCCTAACTCCTCTCTCGGTTGGAAATTCTTTCTCGAAATGCAGTGCATGGTTTCGCCAGCCACAAAAGATCCAGGAAGAGTTATATTCCTCGAGAGCCGAGCGAAGGAATGCAGTCCATGTTGTATCGCGTGGGAATCCCGATTCTATGGTCAAGAACGCCATTTGGTTGTTTTATCGCCGTCGATGGAAGACGGCTGGAAATTCAAATTCAACGCCTTTCCATGCCTTTCATGAATCACGGTAGTAGTAGGACCAGCCTGAATCAATGATGCCATTGAGAAACTTAGCCAAGCCGGCGATCGACTTCCCGAAGAGCTCAGCAATGTGATTATGGAACAAGAGTTCGGCAAGGAGCTCAACACCGAGTGTAGTCGTGATTGAGCTGAGCGCCACTGTGCTCGCGATTAGAACGACCGAGCAGTCTGTCTCGGTGTCGCGGGCCACGGGGGCTTGCTGTGCGATGACGGTGACAGCCGATCACGTAGGCGAAGGAGCCAGCCCAATTCACCCCTTCGGTGAGCCGTTGGGCAGAGATTCTGCTGCGATTGTGGCCAGAGGCTGCTGTGGAAGTCGCGCAATTCTTAGAGACAGAGCCTCCCTTCCAAACACGGAATCGAACATACCTAGTAGGGTGAATGACTCTGGCCTGGCCCACGACCAACCAGAGCACGCCGTTGAAAGATCTAAGACTGGGTTCAGGTGAGAGGGCACGCGAAATCTGAGTTAGTGGAGAGCTGATTCGAAGACATATTTGTAGCAGGCGAATTCCTAGGAGAATTATTAGAGACGGGTCTAGACACAGAGATTAGACGGGGCAACAGATGTTCCGTGGGATTATTGTTTCGAGAGGTGTTCATAGTGATGCATAACCAGAGAGGGTTATGTTGTTTTCCCGCAGCAGTAATCCCACCGGCGTTGACGAGCTATTTGGATCTTCTTCAGCCAGCCATCAGATGACGGGATGCTACCCAAAAGGGAGGGAGGAAATGGTTCACCATACCCGCTTAACAACCTCAGTCTGGCCCTTTAGGCTGCGGCCGTGAGTTGTGATCTTGGGATTGCCCTACTGCAGGCCGTGCAGCCACGCTCGTGTCGATATGCGTGGCGATCGTGTGGGCTATGCACGTAAGCCGGCGGCCTGTCACTATTGTCACCATCGTGTTTTTGCGATCTGACACAGACCAGAGCTTTTTTGGCGATGATATACGGGGCAGAGGGAGAAGCGAAGGCTCAGCGCGACCCTCGCAACCTCGCTCCCGGGATGCCGTGCAGACCGCCCCGGATGAGACCCCCGAAGCCGTTCAGAGCTTAGCTCGAACCCAGGGACCCATACCATGTCTTGCGCGGAGAGACGGAGATGACGGCGTCAACCCATCCCTCTTGTTAATCGAAATCAGATCAAGACAGTGCCCTCTATGAGCTGAGTGAAATTGCTTGTGATGGACCCAGCGAGAGGGGCGGTCTGGAATTCAGCCGCCGTTTTCGTTGTGGAGGACCATGCTTCAACCCACAGACTTGGCTCACGCTCTGGAGTTGCCGAACACTCAGCTCTCGGCACGAGGATTTCGGAGCGTCTTCCATACTGAGTGCGAGATTTGAGGCTTAGATCAGGCGTTTCTGGAATGCACGCTGGAGAGAAAACGGAAGTTCAGCTCTCCCAAAGATTTAAGCATGAAGATGCATGGAATCTGCCAAGTCGACTACGAGCACGAATTGGCGATTGGGGGGTCGCATCTGCCGCAAACACATAAGGCTTAGTAAAATCGACTGGCACGTCATTTACCACCCGACCGGTTCTACGATTTGACATTACAACCCGTCTGTTGATTGTCTGCCGTCAACATATCCCACAGGGAGGAGGCTCAAGCCACTGTTCCTCTCACCATTCTCTCGATATCTCAGCTATTTCGAGACGAGACTCACATAACGCCATCGAAAAGCCTGTGGCGCCCGTCTCCTCCGAAGACACACACAATGCAGGGCTTCTGAAGACTTCACACACGTTCATCAAATGTGACTCGCACGTGCAGGGCGGGACTCTTCCTCCCGGATCGACATGGCGACCCACGGGCGACATGCTTTCTTTTTGGTGATTTCCCATATGCAACCTGCGTGCTTCCAGACCAGGTTTTCCTTTTTCGGCCAATAAGCTGCATGGGATACGGCCACAATCCCGAGTCTCCACGGCTGAGAAGCTTCTCCCTTTCCCACACACACCTGTTTTCTTTCTCTCTCACTAATTCCTTCCAACGCATTGTCCCTGCCAAGATGGCTCCGCGGTGCTATGAGCCGATGACTGCATCTCAGACAACACCGTCAACGAGAACCCTTGCAGGCTGCAGCCAGAGAGACGGGATCCTTGCAGTACTTTCAACCTGAAGCAGCGCCTAGCATACTAGTTGGCGTGGTTTAGGCGAGTGCCTTGGCTACCTCGCAGGTTCCCGCATGTTCTAAGGGCAACATTCCCCCCCACTCTCGCAAGAGTATGCTTATCTGACTATGGGCCGCCTCCACTTCTCCCCTCCGATGCTCCGATGAGCCAGCCAGAGGCTGAACGAACGGGTTTCTGCGTAGCGGCGATGCCCATCCGCACGCAAGGTAAAGGCAGCACGCTGGAGCTAGTCAAGCCATATTCGCTAGCGTCCGCAAGCCTGGTCTCGTAAGGCCTGGAGAGCCGGCTCGGGGACACAGGGATGCGATTTCTTATGTCTTGATGGGTCATAGAGAAAAGCAACTGTTCATGGTGTTGAGTTCTTACCACTGCACTACCTCATGGCAATATGGGTGAAGCAATCGCGAGATGAATCCAAGGGAACAAGGAGTCTGAGACCCGGAAAGACGCCATATTGTTGGCGGACGTGGTGGCCGATGTTCGCCCCCATCCCTTGGGAATGGAAGACGCCTTCCGCTCCTTGATTTGGGCGTTGCTTCTCGTGATGTCTACTGTATTTCGGCTGGTATATATCCTAGGGTTTTCTCGCGGTCTTTCCTCGATTGTTTTCCTCTCCATCCTCATCAGCGCAGTCATCTCCTGCATCTCCTTCTTTCGACAAGCTCCAGTCAACCCATTCCTTCGTTTCAACCCGAAGCTTCAAGGGCTCCAGTCTTTAGAGGACCTCCAGTTGCAGCAGCCATGAAGACAACTACCGCCGCCGTGTTGGCCTCCCTTTTCGGGATGGGCGCTGCCCAGTGTGCCAGGGACAACTGTCTGCGAGGTATGTGTTCATCCCATCTCACCCATGCTTCCCACGCGTCCCATCCCGGGAGATCTCGTCTATAGGATCGCCAGCTAACACTCCACTCTCCAGCCATCGCGGCCAGTGCTTTCCCGACCCGAAGCGGTACTGCGGACTGCTCTCGCTTCCTGCAGGTCACCGCCACTGCCAGTGCCGTGTAAGCTTTCATACCCCTGAGCCACATCACTCTTTCTCTGACACGATCCTCTCCAGGACCGCGACCGTGACCGTGACCGCCCCCACCTCCGGTGTCTTCACTTCAACCTTGACCGTGAGCGAGTCCGGTGCCGCCGGCTCCGTGGGCACCAGCACCGTCCTCGAGACCACGACCTCCACCGCCACCATCACCGATGTCATCGGAACCACCGAGGTCGTCACTGCTTCCACCGAGACCGTCATTGTCCCCACCACCGTCGTCGTTTCTTCCACCAGGACTCTCTTCTTCGGCACCACTGAGATCGTCACCGTTGCTACCGAGACGCAGACCGTCGATGCCACCATTGCCGTCATCAAGAAGCGCCAGGTCGCCACCAACATCCCGACCTATGCCTCCGCCTGCAGTGGCTTCGCCCGCTACTCTTCGGCCTGCTCTTGCCTCGGTGTCACGGCGCCCACGAACACCGTGGCCCCGGCTACCGTGACCACGACCACGACCGTTCCGGCCACCGTCATCTCCACCGCTGTTGTCACCGTCACCGTCACCGGCGACGCTGCTCCCGGCTCCACCGTCCTGACCACCAGCACCGTCACCGAGACCGAGCTCGCGGCCACCACGGTTACCTCCGCCGAGACCACCTCCGTGACCGCTACGACTGAGATTGGCAGCACTTCCACGGACTTGATCGAGGAGACCACTTCGCTGACCAGCACCTTCATTTTCAACGCTACCTTCACCACCTTCATTACCCGCACCACTTCTCTGCCGCCTGTCGTGAACAGCACCACGACCACCGGCATCAGCTCTACTGCGGACATTAGCTCTTCCATTTTCTCCAACGTCTCTACTTCTTCCACTGAGATTAGCACGTCTACAGACATCATCTCCACTACCTCTACCGTCTTCCCTAATACCACTACTACTGAGTTCACTTCGATCTCGTCCACTCTCTTCCCTAACAGCACTACCGTCGAGTCTACCACCTCTACTGTTTTCCCCAACAGCACCGTCACGACCGACATCATCTCCTCTACGGATGTTAGCTCTTCCACCTTCTTCCCTAACAGCACTACCATTACCACCGAGGGCCCCTCGTCCACTCTTTTCCCCAACGTCACTTCTACCACTGGCGTTTCTTCCTCTACTTTCTTCCCTAACGAGACCTCCACCGAGGTTTCCACTTCCACTATCTTCCCTAATGAGACTTCCACTGGAGTCCCTTCATCGACTCTCTTCCCCAACGTCACTTCCACTTCCACTGAGGTCTCTATCTCCTCTACCTTCTTCCCCAACGTCACCTCCACCACCGGCGTTCCCTCTTCCACCCTCTTCCCTAACGTGACCTCCACCGAAGTCTCCTCCTCTACTCTGTTCCCCAACAGCACTGCCATCGAGACTTCCACCGAGGTTCCCTCATCCACCTTCTTCCCCAACAGCACCATCACCTCCGCCACGGAGACGGCGACTTCCTTCCCCAACTCGACCGCCACGGACATCACCGCCTCCACCCTGTTCCCCAACAGCACCGTCGTCGAGTCCAGCACCGAGTTCCCCTCGTCCACTCTCTTCCCCAACAGCACTGCGACTGCTACGGAGACTCCCACCAGCTTCCCCAACAGCACCATTGCCAGCACCATCTTCGACTCCTCCACCTCTGACCTCAGCTCGACCAGCACCGGAGCTCCCAACGCTACCGTGACCGAGATCTCCACCACCACTGAGGCTTCTTCCACTGAGGTCGTGACCTCCACCGACATCGCGACTACCACCGACGAGTCCAGTACTGAGACCGTGACCTCCACTGAGATCGCGACTACCACCGACGAGTCCAGCACTGATGTTGTCACCTCCACGGACGTCAGCACCACGACAGAGGCCACTTCCACTGAAGTCAGCACCACTTCCTCCGCTTCTGGAACCTCGGCCCAGGACTCCACCCCTTCGACCACTGCCTCCACCACCACCACCGTCGTCTCCACGACTTCAAGCACCTCCTCCACGGCCTCCCCGACCGCCAGCGCCGTCTTCGCCCGCAACATCTGCCTGAAGGTCACTTCCCCCGGCCTCCTCCTCGGCGCCAAGCTCATCCTCGGCCCCAACCGCTTCAACCTGAGGAACGCCGCCGACCCCACCCCCGCTGCTCTGTTCGACATCAACCTCACCACCGGCCAGGTCTTCCAGAACAACGGCGAGACCGTCGCCCTCTCCGCCCCCTTCGAGGCCGACACCCGCCCGCTCAACGGCTTCACCCCCTCCCAGGTCCTGCGCATCAAGCTCGCGCCCCTCGTCTGCGAGACCTCCGGCTCCAGCCTGCCCGTCGGCGTGGCCCTCAACTGCACCGCCTCCGGCAACGACGGCCAGAACACCAACTCCTACACCCGCTTCTTCTACAACAGCAACGACTCCGAGGGCATCATCCGCCTGGCCACCGCCAGCCGCGTCTTCAACCGCGTCAACACCGAGCTCAAGCTCGCCCCTTACTCTGGAGCCGACTGCAACTAGAGAAGAAGCATTTCAAGAGCGGAGTCGGTCTGACGCTGGCAACATGGACCCGACACCAAGCCGTCAAAGACAAAACATAAGCCGTTCGATTTTGCGAACATGTAACTTTACGCGCCAACTTGCTTTGGGCAATATCTTTGGGAGCCCTCTAATCTTGATACATACATCTGGGATCCCCTTTTTGCTTAACGGATAGCTTCTTTGTCTTTTTGTCTTAATCTTAGGTCACTCGTTTGCCAAATTCAAGTCACTCCTTCTTCTTCTTATAAGCTTCTTTCCATGTCGCCTGTGTGAGCTTCTTGCTTGAACCAACCCACCTGGTAAGCGAGTCAACCTGTGAATAATCTGGAAGCGTAGTTGATGAACACACCATGCAGCAGATAATTAAGCAAGCTCATTGGTGTGGGAATAAATAGAAGCGCGACGCCCAGGGCACCCAAACGATAAAGTTGCAAAATGCAGTATACTGTGAGTGTGTAACAAGCCGGCCCTGTTGGCGGATTGGGATTGGTTCACTGTGCAGGACAGGCTGCCGGTTAACAGGCCGGGTTAAATATAACGACGGGCGGAGCTGGGTGTGGCGGATTGCCAAGACGATAATTCAACCGAAATAAGCTGTGGAAACACAGTATTGCAAGTAGCTGCTTGCAGATTATTGGCCGCATGTTGAGATGCAATCTTTCTCACCACCCCTCCTTGCATGTACGTCGATGCATTTGGTCGAATCCCCTCTCTTTTATTTTCATGTCTACCCGAAATTTCTCTTTCCTCCTTCTTTCCCCCTTTCACAGATCTCTCTGGTCGTCAACACACTTCAAAGCGCAGATCGCAACCTGACTGTGACAGCCACCATAGCACCTCTTCTCCCACTTCAACCATGTTCCATACGATGGAAAGAAGTATCCTATTTTCCCTTCATCTTTATCTTATTTTCCTCTCCCTAGTAGTTCCAGGCTGTGCTATGGCAAATTTGATTGACGATGGGGAGGACTTTTCTAACAACCTTGCCTCCGATCTTGCACCGTAAGTCCACCATAGGCCGTCCAGGCGATTGGCAAGTCGCATCCTTGTACATCTAACGCACAAACAGGCTCCTTGCCCTCTTCGGTGAGCGCGTCACGATGCAATTCATGAGCGAATCTATGGGATGGGCCGACTCCATCATGCTTGCCATGGCCCCGCTCGGTGTGATCACGATTATTGTCAGCGCGATACGGGTAGGCGGATATCGGTGGCTTCGAGCACTTATCGGTCGGTCGACTGAAAATACCGTCGCTGCAGAACTTGAAGTTCTTTCGTGCACGTCAAATGAGTCATGTGAGCTTCACAACGGACAGACGGTCGTCAGATGCCTCGGAAAAGCAGACATATGCGAGTTTATCTGCATCTACCCACCCAAGCCTGCACGTGAGATTACGGCCGCTAGCGTCATGGATATAAAAGAAGCTCTTTCGTACTCAAATCTTCTCGAAATGCGACCTCAAGAATCATGTAGGACATCCATTGCAGCACTCTCCTTCATCTCCGATTCACATTTATTATAAGACCCGGTTTCATAACCCCGGTCCTTCTGTTTGAGTTCAAGCGCTCGCGCTGACCATGGATAACTTTTAGCTCAGGAAATAAGGCCCATAGACTCCCATAACACCTCGCCACAGACCTCACCTACGCTTACCAAGACCAACATTCCTAGGAAGACATCTTGTCATGACGTCGAGGCGGGGCAACCTCCTTTTTCGGAATATTCGCAAGATCTCATAATCAACACTCAGAACACCGGTCAAAACAACCAATCAGCATCCCAGGTTGCCAACAAGACGAAGTTAACAAGACCACTCAAAGATAATGAGATCATCATCATACGCAACCGTGAACATCAATCTCCGAACATTACGCTGAACTGTCAAGTTGACAGCAATAGATGGTCTCTTTGGGTCTGCGCAGCCTTTGGCATTCTGTTACAAGGAGGTGTTCTGTTCTTCTTCGTGCTAATGACTCAAAGTCCTACACTGAAGTTCGACAAGGATGGCCTGCCTGTCGACAACTATGCTATGCCTCTTTCAATCGCCGGGACTTTACTTCTCGTACTCGGGATGCTGATCTGTGGCCGTGTGGTGGATCGAGGAAGCAATGAGACAGTCTACACTTTGCCTCCTGGACAGGGCAAAGAAGCTCGTGGAATGGCCATGATTTGGCTCCAAAAGCAGAAAACAGTCAGCGATCAGCAATTCGAGTCTGCCGCCGTATATACTGGTGTGCAACGCTTTCGAGCCATTACTTCCTCAAGAGCTCTTGAAGGTGGCGATCACGCAGGCACACAGGATATATCGGCTGAGCCAGCCAAACCAGAGGAAGGGCAGACTTCAGAGCGAATTTTGTCGAACAACGACCCAAAACAACATCAACCTCACCCTTCTATGAAGAGAAAAGACCCAAGCCGTGGAATTAAGCTTTTGACAGTGTTTGGGGCAATCATCAGCATTCTTGGCATTGTGTGTCAATTTACAGGTCTTAGGGGCATGCATTGGCTAGCTTCGGTAACGCAACTGGCCGCCACCTCCATCATGACGCTTTTAAGGGCGGTAGTTAGACGATAATCCACAAAGATTGAGTGGATAGATTGTGGATTCGAGATGGAATGGTTCGTAATGTCTCTTGGGAACCTCGATACAGCTTCGTGGCTTCCAAACCGGCCTGATCAGAGGTCTGTACCCGAACAAAGCAAGTCTCTCGCATGGGTTATACTTTCAGAAACGACAAGTACAGTGCAGTGGACCCAGGGCTCCAAGGAATCAACAGCGTGGAGAGTGGAGGACCTCGGAAATTTGAGCGGCATGTTTCGAATGAGACGATATCTTGGGGAGCTTGGTAACTGGAAGGGGCCGGCACACGAACAAGCCCTCACTCTATCTCGAGCTATTGAGGCCATTCTGGACAGCTTTGCTCCGTATCTTACGGGTATGGGCGACAAAAAGGACTGCATTTGGGAACTACATGTTGCAGGCGCTGGCAAGAAATTAGAGATTGTCCAAATCCACGTCGACTGGACCACAGAAGGGTGGCAAGTACGCACGGACGAACTTGATTCCGCACTTTCACTGTGGCTATACTCAGTAGATGACGTTAGAAAAGAGGCGGAAAATGCTGGTTTCCCCTCCGAGCACGGTAGCTGGATACGAGACAAAAAGGCTTCACATCGATGTGTGCAAATTCTCGGCTTATCCACGGGCAATCTTATTCGAGACTTGAACTGGTGGATGCCGAATCGCCTGGTGGGAATCTTGGAGGCGGGCACCGTCACCGATGAAATGACACTCCAAACTAAACAACCTCACCATCGACCCGAGTCGTCGGATAATGTCAAGTCGCAACATCAGGTTCAGGCAAGACGAATTGGCCGTAGTGGTCTCAGACACTTTCTCGTGGACGACGCAAGCAACGTCTGCGATTCATCGCAAATTGATGACCTGGCTGTCAAGTTCACATCGCAGCCAGAATACACCCATTGGCAGTGGCATGATGCCCTCCCGCACAGCTCTGTATCGAAAGAGAAAATCTCAGGATCGATCAAAAGCGCCACTGCGTCGAAAAACCTCTACCCGTTCTTAATCGTCGAGTCACAGGACTCACTTGAAAATCTTTATGCCAAGGATTTACTTTCGTGTTTCATGTGGGCATTTGCGAGTCATCTGAAACCGTTTGCCATTGGACGATATTTCAAGGCAACAATAGAGGCTTCGATTGCACAGGAGCTGCCAGAAACACTTGCATTTCGAAGCTCTGAACTCTCTCACCTTGTCCAGCGTATTGCCAGTTTTGGCTCTTGGACTGAGCAAGATGTTTATCTTTGTCTGCTGCCTGCCTTGAGCTCTTCAAACAACCTACCCGGCGTCAGTGCTGTTGTTGATATAGCTCTAGAGTCTGCTGCTGCACAAGAACGAGAGAGAAATTGGGCAAAAGCGTGTGCAGCCTATGAATGGCTGCACGACAACTGCGCCAGGTTCTTCGAACCGTCAAGTCCAATTCTTTGGGAGTCTCTGGCAGCAATATTGCTGTTTGAATTCAGGATAAGTAACGCCAAGGTGAATGATCTCTGCTCAATACACGATGACGCCTATCATTCCGGCAGCATGACCAGAGTTGAGAAACAGTTGTCTGCACTACTCCTTAGAGAGAGCGCCGGGATTCGTCGGATGAGAAATGTGATAATGAATCTTGCCGAAGTCTACGGCCGCGTAACCCCGTTTGTTTTGTTTCCTGGTCCAGAAAAGGATCTAGACTCCGATTGGGACCAGCTTGAAGACTTGAGGTTTCAGCCGTTGTGTCCATCCGTGGCGAACGAAAGCCAGGGCTACTTCATCAGGTCAGTGGACAGACGCGATATATTTGGAAGAGGTCTGCTTCATTGGATGATGTCGAGCGATCTGGGATCAGTCACAATTACCTCTCCGAATTGGCTACGGGACCCAAGGATCTTTCAGCAGGCCTACAAGTCTTTTGCAACATATCTAGGCCATGAACATGGAGATCAGACGCTGCACTTGATCCGAATACTTGACAGCGCTTTCAGCGACGAAAACGAGTCAATCACTCAGTCGGGCCTCCAGGACGTATTGGTCTTTCAATTTAGCCAGCCCCAAACGCTTCTGGACACCGGGGTGGATCCGAATGCTCGCGATAGAATACATTGGACACCGCTTCATCATGCTTGTGAGATTTTATTACCAAGACGGTCGAAGCGGTGGTTGCGAAGGCGACCGATCAGAGTTGAGTCGGATGGCATCTCAACATGTTCGAATACTAAGGCCCCTTCTTGCATGGAAGATACGCAGGACCCGGAAATTGTCCTGTCCTCCGACCATTCGTCATTCCTCAATGACGAAGATGACGATTGTGCCGAGTATTTAGATCATACAGAAACCTCCGATACTGAGAACTCCGATGAATTGGAGACAGTCATCTGGGGCGAAACACGCCAGCAAGACAAAATATCGGAAGAG